AATGAATGGATGCATACCTTCGGGAGCTCTCGGATGTGATTGGCGTCGAGAAAGAGCTCTTCGAGAGTTCGGGTATATCTGAGGACATCGTCGGGAATGTTGGGTAAACTGCAGTGCCTTTTGTCGATGTATTCAATCTGACGATTGCATCCGCGAAACAGAGGAATGCATTTAAACATTATATTCAGACAATCGTCTCTTCGGTCGTACGTTGTGGTCGTCGGTGGCGGTGATGACAGTGTCGATGACGGCTCGGGCGATGGTGTGATGGCCTATACTATGGCAACACTTGGTATTTGACACGATTTGATGACAACAAGAGTCATGTGTTGAGTACAGCAAACATGACCTGAGGTTTCGTGAAATCAATTCATTACTAAACAATGCATTCAAACGATTGTAGAAATTATTATTAATTTAATTAAAACTTCATTTAAATATAGATTTATATATTATTTATTAGAAAAAAGCACTGAAAATGCAGTCATTTATTAAATGTATATTTATTTTGTATTATTATTTATCGATAACAATGTTATATATTATATATGATTACAGATATATATAACCAATAAATTAATAAATACTTTAATTAACAGACAATGAATTGAATTAATAATAATTATAATAATAATACAAAATTATTTGTGTTGACTTACCCTCACAACACACTCTTAGTTCCGAAGTTACCTAAGTATTATAAAAGCATGTTTAAAAACCCTGTGAAAAAAACCACCATTTGTTTAACGTCTGTGTTTAATGCAGGTCTATATTGGCATAGAAATTACATTCAACATTTAATATGATAGCGAGTTATTGTATGAATGTAAAAATGTGTGCATATCAATGATAATGGGTGTGGGTGAGTTACTAGAATTAGGTGGGGCACTTTTCAATTGTGCGAATTATGCCTGCTCATTGTATACGGCGCCCCCAATGTATGCGCTTGGTTAGATTATTTGCACTGCTGTTGCTTATATTTGACCATGTTGGCTAATTAATTAATTAGTTTCAATATTGCATGTGTTTTATAGGAATAAAAGTTTTATTGTACCAAAACTTATACAACTTATAATGCAATCCACGTATGACTTATTTAGTGTATGGCATTAATATAGGGATACTTTTATGTGATAGCGTTTTAGTGATTAAATTGCACACAATTTTCAAGTGTATTGTTATATCTATTGACTATTGAATTGAAGGACTCGTTGCCCAATACAGAGAGGTTTTCTGATGCACTCCTTATCTCTTCAAATAATGTACACAACAATTGATTAACAAATATTACACAAAATAATTTGCATTCAAACCGAAACCCATATTATGTTACATATAATGAGTGGTAAATTTAAAATAATATATGGTATGCCTTATATTCCTCATTGCAATGCCATTCATAATCATTTAGATGTGTATTAAGTTTCTCCACTTTATTACAAACATTAATGTGTTTTTGTGTTATATTATGTTAAAAACGATTAAAGTATTGAATTTATTATAATTATGAGCTTTAATCAAATTATTGAGTGTAAAAACAGAGATGAGAGAGAGAGAGAGAGAGAGAGAGGGCATTAAGATATTCATGAATTCTAAGGATTAATTGTTAAATACAGTATATTTGCACACAATATAGACATACAAAACTTAATCCTTAAATATTGTGCCAATATTTGATAAAAATATATATTAAAATTTATTTATTTAAAACCTGATATTAGGTAATAGAAAATATTACAATAGAGAGAGAGAGAGAGAGAGAGAGAGAGAGAGAANTGCGGTCTTATCGTTGACAGCACTGGTCTCATAGAGAAGACCCGCCTCTTCGTAGAACTCGGCTGAAGTCAATTCGCGGATCACCTGCTCTATTGAGGACCGGCTGATGGTATCGGCGTTTCTCTTACTGTTGTTGAGTATGAGTTTCGACGCCTGCACTAAACGACCGGACTTTATATACAGACGCAACGCCTCCTCGTATTTGCCGGACCTCTCCATTATGAGCCCGGCGTCGGCCTCCTGTCCCGAGTCCAGCAGCCAATTGTAGTACCGCTGCTCTAAATCATCCTTAATATCTGAACGCCCGGACCTGACGGACAAATCAATCGCTTTTTCCCATTTATGTAACTCAATATAAGTGTCGATTACTTCGTCAAAATCTACCGACTCTTCAAAAGCGGACCAATCGTTGTCTAAGAGTGTGAGTCGACCGTAATTATCGGCGCACTCGCGGACAAACACCGCGCGGCTTATGTCACCGATGGCTGCGAAAGAACGCTCGGCGATCAACAGGTTTGAGTTCTTAAGCGCCACGTTTGCCAACAATTTCCACATTGACTCAGACTCGGCCGACACCGGCAGTGACTCCAAGAATAGTTCGGCTCTGGATTCAAGAGTTATTAAAAGTTAACCAAAAAAGTGACAAAACTTTACATACCTTTCCAGATCTGCGTCTTCAATGGCTGTGTCAAACTCGAGCAGCACTTCATCCAACACTAAACTCTACTGTTAAAAGATTACCACAAAACGAGTATTAATTGAATGAATGTGACTTACTTTGTAATATAATATGTTATTAAAATAAGTACTTTATTAAATCACAATTGGAAATACAAGTATTAATCCATTTAAACAATAAGTTTGTAACTTTTATTAATGTAAAAAATTTCCAGTGATGATCATACGTTCAATAGTTGATGCCTTAATTACAATACAATTGTAATTATAATTATTAAGTAAAAGTAATTCAAACAAACATTGATATATCGGATGGAAATCTACTGGAATGAGAAGCGAGCGGTCGTCGCGTTTCCGTATAGTTTGCCCACAAAATGCAAAACATCTTTCAAGTCATCGCTTGCCGTAACCTTTGAGTGAAATTCAATTCAATAAGATTTAACATTTAATTAATTAATACAATAAAAATAATGAATTTGTTTGAATTTGACACTATTGTCAACAAAACACTTAAAAATGTAATTAAAATAATCTGTAATATCTTGTAAAGAATATTCTGTATTCTATATTCTATTTAATATTCTACACTTGAAAACAGAATATAAAATAGGGATTATATCTAACAATACATTTCCACATGCAATGCACTAATTAATTCTTTCTAATAATCCCTATTAAATAATGCCAAATACAATACACTTACATGTAATTCACTAATTCCTAATCGTTTTGCAAAGAATTAGCTATAATTTCAAATGTAATGACAAACCTTTGTTAACATAAGAAGTTTATTCCAGTCATCTTTGTTGACGGCATACTTTCCGGGCTTAAACTCCAACATCTTATGCTTAATAACAGGATATCCGGTGACCAAACACGGCAGACAACGGCTGGAGTCGCCATTTATAAGACTCGCCTCATAGACATCGCCCTCTCGGAGGGCGTCCAACGGTAGTGACTGCGAGACGTGTGAATCCATCGATATCTGAAGGATCCAACTCTTGACCTCCTCTCGAGTGTTGGACGACACGTCGGCGTTGAACACCTCTGTGGGCACGTGTACTTCAAACGGGATGTCAGTGCCCATAAAATCCGAGTGATCCACGTTATAGTCGCCCTCTTCTATGGCGTCCACTAAGTCTAAGAAGTGATTCCAGAAGACAAACGCCATTTCGAGTCGACCGCTGTCTTTGGCCACGAGTCCGGCCTCATAGAAGGCTTTGTCCACCCGAACGATATCGGTGTACCGGAGAAGAGCTATTGTGATCTTTGAGTGCAATTCCGTGGCGTTTGACTGACCATCCATTGAGCGCAGGATTGCTTTCAACGCAAACCAATGCGTGACCATTAAGTATCTTTCGATGATTTCCAGTTCCGATTCCGAGCTCGAAGTGGCCATCAGAACCTTGTCTCTAAGCGCATTAACAAAGGTTCAGCAGTCTAGGTGCAGGCTTCACAACCAGAGCTTCCGGTAATTTAGCCACCGCTAAGAGTTGTGATAAAAGAATCAGAGTCCGTATTATTTCTGGGCGTTATGTTTGTTGAGTAGACTCAGAGCATCGGTAGTCGAGCCCTCTTTGACCATTTGTGTGCTCAATAGCACAGTATATCTCAAAACCGATTCTTTGTCGCCATTTTGTTCCGCAATCTTCAGATTCTGTCTCAAATCTGTCACATTATTGTTGAGCGCCGATAGGTCTGAATGAGTCGATCGATCGCCTATAGAGCGCGTACTTCGGCCAGAATTCTCGCGAGTATTAGTTCCCGACAAATAACGGTCACTATTATGTGTTTCGGCAATCATTTCGCGTTTCACCGAATCTATGAGATGCGGTGCGAACTGTTCGCACACCCGAAGTGCCTCTTCCCACATACCGCTCTCCTTATATATCTTTACGGCCACTTCTATCCTCCCGGCCCTCAGCAGCAGGTGTTCCGCACGATTCATGTCATCAACACCGCGGCGGCCCCTCTGCAGTATAGTCTGCGCCTGTGCTGTCAGCACATCCCTAACCACTTCCTCGTCATTCATGGCCTCTTCGGCCACACGGAGGGCGTCATCGAAGGCCGCGTTATGTAAATACATGAGCACCGCTTCGCGCGGTTTGTTGGCCTCGCAGAACATCACCTCCGCGTCGGAGTAGCGCTTCTCGTCCTCCAACCAAACCGCGTATTTCAGCTTAACTTCGATCATCTTATGCCTCATAAATACATGAGCACCGCTTCGCGCGGTTTGTTGGCCTCGCAGAACATCACCTCCGCGTCGGAGTAGCGCTTCTCGTCCTCCAACCAAACCGCGTATTTCAGCTTAACTTCGATCATCTTATGCCTCAGCTCTGGGCCCGAGTGAGCGATCAATGAGTTGGCGAACACGTACTCATTGGCGTCGACCGCGTAGTCCACCACTTGATTCAGAAGACCAAACCGTGACAGAAGTTTGACGGCCGCGTCCGCGCTCTGCAACGATTGCGCCCAATGATAGGCCACTTGTTTGGCCGCCTGAACGCCGCCGTTAGCGCGCGCCACGCGATAGCCCTCTTCCCAGTGGTTGGTATTCTTGTACATCTGAACGGCTGACTTCCACTCTCCACCCGACACGTAATGACTTTCTGCCTGATGTAGTGATCCCTCTGTTTCCAACTCCTGTGTCACACAAAATACAAAGTGTTTAAGAAATTTATTAATTTTATAGACTTTGTTATAAACAAAATGTTTATTACTTTCGCTAAATGCAAGTGAGTGTCGGTCAAAAGGTCGGTGTGATATTGTTTGACGAGTCTGATCATCGGTTCGTATTGTTTGGCACTCTTATACATACTGATGGCTGAGTCCACGTCATCGCAGGTAATGTATATCCGTTCCGCCTCTTTGTACTTTCCGTCCGCTTCTAGCGATTTGGCGATTGATTCGTACATCTCTTTGGCCTCCGACGGGTCCATCAGTTTTCGGGCCAACTTATAGGCGCGCGAATACTGACCCTTATTGTTCAATAGGGCGATGGCTTCGCGAATGCACCCGGAGTTGAGGTATATCTCGATCGCTGTGTCGATTTGATCCTTTCCCGCGAAATAAGTGCCAATCTTTTTGCCAAAATGTGTGGGAATATTGTCCAAAATGGCCGCGATTTCGATGGCTCTGTCGTACTGTTGGGCCTGAATGGCCGCCTCCAGAGCTCTATCCGTTTTGCCCGCTTCTATAAAATGGTTGACCGCACCCGACGGGTCATTGGCTTCATTGAACAACCACTCGGCAAACTTGCATGTAATTAGATATACGATAAATGCCATTATAAATCAAACTCAAATGACTTATACCTTAAGTTCAAGCGCCACCACTTCGTCGGGAAACTCCTTTCTGGCCAAAGAGATTGCTTTCGCATAAGCGTTGCCTTTAATGTAGTTATCGAGAGCTGCGGTCTTATCGTTGACAGCACTGGTCTCATAGAGAAGACCCGCCTCTTCGTAGAACTCGGCTGAAGTCAATTCGCGGATCACCTGCTCTATTGAGGACCGGCTGATGGTATCGGCGTTTCTCTTACTGTTGTTGAGTATGAGTTTCGACGCCTGCACTAAACGACCGGACTTTATATACAGACGCAACGCCTCCTCGTATTTGCCGGACCTCTCCATTATGAGCCCGGCGTCGGCCTCCTGTCCCGAGTCCAGCAGCCAATTGTAGTACCGCTGCTCTAAATCATCCTTAATATCTGAACGCCCGGACCTGACGGACAAATCAATCGCTTTTTCCCATTTATGTAACTCAATATAAGTGTCGATTACTTCGTCAAAATCTACCGACTCTTCAAAAGCGGACCAATCGTTGTCTAAGAGTGTGAGTCGACCGTAATTATCGGCGCACTCGCGGACAAACACCGCGCGGCTTATGTCACCGATGGCTGCGAAAGAACGCTCGGCGATCAACAGGTTTGAGTTCTTAAGCGCCACGTTTGCCAACAATTTCCACATTGACTCAGACTCGGCCGACACCGGCAGTGACTCCAAGAATAGTTCGGCTCTGGATTCAAGAGTTATTAAAAGTTAACCAAAAAAGTGACAAAACTTTACATACCTTTCCAGATCTGCGTCTTCAATGGCTGTGTCAAACTCGAGCAGCACTTCATCCAACACTATATCAGTGCCGCTAATTGTGAACAAAACTTTAGTGACTCCGGACTCTCGCTCGATACCCATCGCGTCGTTTTGTGAGCCGCCGATCACCGCATGAATGACCGGCTTATCTAAATCGTACCAAACGTACAGTTTGTCCCGCGATTGGGCGACAATCACATCACTCCCGGGAACCCATTGAACAAATCCACAGAAATTTAAAATGACGTGACTTTCCTGTTGAAACACATCCAGTAGATTGAGTTTCAACGACCGGTCCCTAAACAGTAACTTTTTCCCCGTTTCGTTCATTTCGATCCAATCGATCCGCTCGTTATGAGTCCACACCAAGAGTTGTACACCAGATATCAGGTCCAGAATTGTTACAGTCTTGACGTCCAACAGATAGGCCAACGTTTTTGTGCCACTTTTGCGCTCATTTATGCGAACGCTGTTTGAAAGACAATTTGTGTGATTACGTGAGTATTTACCACAAAAAATACCTCATCAGATGTTGGCTCACGAAGTCTGTCCGCACGGAAGCCAACAATTCATTGGATCCCAATTCAACTAAATATAGTTCTCCGACAACATTAATGAGGGCCACATTCTCGTAGTCGAAGCTAAACTTGAGGCCATCGGTGGTCATACCTGTCCAGTCAATCTCCGATCGTTTCTCGTTTGGCTCATAAATATCGCACAAAATCAATGTATTTGTGGTGAAAACGACCGCAAAGTTATCTCTAATTATTTTCACATCTTTTATATCAAAGTTTGAGTGAAACAAAGCGGTCGACCCTTTGTGTAGGTCTTTGATCACCACTTGTCGGTTCCCGACGTAACTGATCTCGAGTTTGTCGCCAATCACTTTGGTTTTCCACTTGCATTCAAAGAGGTCGACCGCGCCGTTCACTGTTCCCGTCATAATCTTCGTGCCGTCGAGTGACCAGTAAAGGCCTGTTATGACATAAGCGCCGCTCAGTTCGATGATATTCTTCTGCCGCCAAACACGCGAATCCAACTCAAAGATCAGTAACTTTTCCAACGAACTCAAGACAGTTATATTGCCAGAAGTGGATGCGATGGCACACGAGATCTCATTGCCGTACTCTATGTTCTGTTTGGTGTAATTAGCGGCCGATCGTTGGCCAGTGTTTTGGACGGCGATGTTTATGAAACTGATCCGTCCGTCACATCCGGCGGCGCACACATAACCCGACGGCGAGAGCGTCAACGCGAACGGCGGACACGAGTGAGTGACCACTTGTTTGCCGGTGTTGTCCCTCACGTTAAACGCATTCATCATAATTAATCCGCTCTGAAAGCCACAGACAATGGTCTCCCCGCTAACCGACAGCGACACCACTAATGAATTGCTGGCCATTAAACCAAACATCTTGTTTGTCTGCGTTTGAACCACTTTTACCTAATTTTAAATATACGTAATTATATAGAAAATGCATCCAATGGTCAAACATTGACAATACTTTGCCATCGAGTGAACCGAATACTATTCCGGCGGAGTTCCACATCAGACATGTGACCGGATTTTGGAGACTATATTTATTAACAATTGCTTTCTTATCGCCCCTAAGAATTGAGATATTGATTTAAAAAGTAAATTAAATAATAAAAACTAATAAAATACCAGTTTTCGCCAATTTTATAGACAAATATAACACAATCTGATTGTCCGATCGCCAACTTCTGAGAGTCGGGCGAAAACGCTATCCCTTTGACGACAAACGACTTTCGGCTAAAGTTTTTAGCCGTCGATTTGAGGGCAAACTTATCCTTCTCTTCATTACTGTTTGCGTCAAATAATATGATCTGATTGTTAGCCGACGTACAGACGGCCAGTCGGCTTAGGTTTGGCGCAATACACAGGCACTCGACTCTGCATATAGTCATGTGTTTGTCGACCGCCGGCTTTATTAAACTCTTTTCGTGCTTTAATTTCATTGTCTATTAATATTTTTCTAACGAACACAATATTTTGTACTAATTATAAGTATCTAATTATTTAATAAGTAATGTTATATTCGATACAATCATTAAAATTCTTGTTAATAAAAGCATATTTGTTGTGAATTCCGGATAAAATTATTGTTTCTATGGATACTCTGAGGTGAAGAATATTCATACAAAAGTACTTGTTTTGTGTATATTTAATAAAACAAATAATATAAACAACCATTGGTTACAAACATTCAGTAGTTCTTGTTTACCACTCTAAGAACCATCAGCGATGAAGCCATATATGGCACTAACAATTTACACTGGTCACCCTACTTACAGTTATTTAGTCTAACCATGTTGCATTATGCATACAAAACTATAATTAATACAAAATGTTTGCTATATTTCACAATAAAATTTTTGAGTTTAATAACAAATATTTAATAAATAAGTAATCAATTGAATGGTATCTCAATTGAAATGCAAGGATAATAGAAATAGTGTTGTAAATAAATGTCTTAACGTAATCATAATGTAATTTAAAAAGTTATTGTTAACCCATTTTTATAATTAAAATATATCTGATTATAAAGAATATAACACTAAAATACATCGTTAATTAATATATATGAAAATGTCTTTATGAAACTTTTTCGTAAAAATTTAGTGTAAATTTTAAAACTTTAAATTAAAGAGGGTCCTTTTTGAACAGACTGTGAGATAAACTAATTTAAATGGTATCATGTTATAGATAATGCCAAATAAGAATTATCTAGCGCTTAAAATTCGGCGAATGGCCATATTGTATAATTATAATT